GAAAACTATGTTCCCAAAGTCTGTAAACATCATGGCCGCTGAGACATCTGATATTAAAGACATGTTGTTGAAACTGTCGGTTGCCCTCCTATGCTTCAGACAGTTGCCAACGCAATTTACTTTGATCCAGATGGGCCTGGATCCACAGCATCATGCAATGCACAATTGCTTTATTAAACCCAGATAGCGACGCACCACCCTTGTCGTGCAACCACTGCGTTAAACTTGGGGCAGCCAGATCGTTACTAGTATGAATGGTTGTTGCGCTGCATTCTGAAACAAGGTGAACTCACGTTGGTTGTGTTTTGGCCTTTTCTTGCATTCAGGAAGAAAAGGGCTTGGCTAGGCTAGTAGTGTTGCATAACGGGACCGCGGGAAGTCTTGATCTCTAGCAAGTATATTACCCTAAATTTTGCAATAAAGGGAATTAAAAAATTTTGAGTAACCGGTCGTTAATTGAAAATTCAAATTGTCTCAAGTATGGGCAAGGAATAAAAATGCTGGTTATCAAAATCGTTTCACGCCAAAAATTTACATACTTTTCGGACGTGCGTATGTGAGACCTAGGTGTGCATGCCAGTTGATTGCACCTAGGATGGACCAGGCTTGCCGGTGCGATCATGCGTTTTAGCACTAAAGTCGCGAGTCCCTAATAGCAGGAATAATCCCTGCGCTGCAGCCAAGCACTTGGGCTCACATTGGCGATGCTTTGGTTCTTCCGGTGTGCAACGGAATGGGCATTGGTTGGGATTAGGGTGTTGCGTTATAGAGCAGCATGGGCCCGAAGGTGCATGATTACCAGCTTTTTGCATGAAGCCCGGTCGTTTTTTCAGTAAATGCTAGCTTTTTGAAAAAATGAAAATGTAAATTTCTTGAAAAAATGCATATTTCCAGTTCACTAAAATGCTCCAGCGGTCATTTGTGAAAAAATTCAAGTATGCAAATGAACTAATGTTCATTTATATATTTGGACAAGGGCGGTCATTCGCTGCGAAACATATTCGTTTCTGATTTTTAAATAAAGTTGAGTACTTCTTATGCTCACGTGCAGGAAATTTCACTTCCAAGAAGAATTAAGACCGTACTTAAAAGTAGGACATCCCAGAGAAGTTTTAGCCTAGCACTTTATCCGGTAAGCAAAATAGCCACTTCGCTACAAATATCTTTGAAGTGCCCTGAGTAGTGGCGCAAATGCATATCGGCGCTCATTTTAGGTATACTATTTCCTATGTGGGAAACAAACACCCTGATTAAATTTCAGCCAGTGTTTTCTGGCAAATTTTCGAGTTAGTGTAATACCAAGTCGCAAAATTTGACGTGATCGTACGTGCTGTACAAGT